GTCATAGTCTCTGATAGACACCCAGCTATCGCCAATGCAATTGAAAGTGTCCTGCCATGGGCAACAAGAGGTATATGCTACTATCATATGCAAAATAACATAATTGGAACTTACCACGCGAAAGAAATCATGTATATGGTCAAAGGTGCTGCATATGCGCACACGGTGGACACTTACAACTGGTATATGGATCAAATACGAGCTGCAAAACCGGCGCTTGCAACGTACTTGGAGGGAGCCGATCCGAGCTTGTGGTCACGAGTTCACTGCCCAGGAGAAAGATACAACCTAAAGACTAGCAATATCGCGGAGTCGATTAACGCCATGGTGAAGAAAGCCAAAGATTTTCCAATACCTTTTCTCTTAGAGTTTATCAGAGAGAGGTTGAGCCACTGGTTCCTCAAGAGGCGTGAAAATGCTCTAGGTCTCACCACCGATCATAGCAAAGGAGTTGAATACTTGTTGTCTATTCGTGAGTACTATGCAGGTTTTATGGACGTGGAGCGCATAGATGATTGGCATTTCCAAGTTAAGTCTACATCAGGATACTATAACGTCGATCTTGAGCTCCGAACGTGCTCTTGTGGTGTGTTTGATATTGAAAAGATACCATGTTCGCACGTCATTGCTGCAATTACAATGGCTGGATTGTCAGTCTCCGATTATGTGAGTCCGGCTTACAAGAGGAACACCTGTCACTCAACGTACGCGCATCCACTTTTTCCTCCTCCTTCCAGATTCTCCTCCGTGAAGAAGGAACGTTGCCGTCCTCCTAAAGAAAAACCCACTCCTGGTAGGAAAAAGAAATCTAGGTGGCAAAGCTGGTTAGAAATGGCAAGAAAGAGGAAGCATAAACCGAGGAAGATGCCAAAAGCGTACACATGCTCTAAGTGTAGATTACCAGGTCATACTCGTCCAAAATGCGTAAGTGAAACCACTTCTCTATTCATCCTGGTACATAAATTTTCAAAAAACTTATAGTAACGGTCCAAATCGTATATTTTTCCGGTTGAAGACTGCTGACGACTGAAGTCTACAACCGACGTCAACGGATGATGTTATCGTACTATATCCATTGATTTTTTTCGTTTAACTGTTAAGTGGCTATTACTATCTATGCTTGGAACACCGTTTATGTTTGTGGATTTTATTTAAAATACACTATAATACATTAACTGCTAATGACGTCCACAATCGAAGTCTATAGATTCGAATTTAAAATACAATCTAATACATTAACTGGTTCTGACCACGTCTTACATATTATAACTAGTAGACGTCATACCGATATCTACAATAGAAGTTTACAAAATAAGTCTACCGCTATATACAGTAGAAGTTTACACCGATGCCAATGATAGGTTATGCCAAAAAATATACCGCGTAACCCTTTCAACGGATCCCAAAAAAGTCTAATACAAACGTCCTCGCCTCCTAAACCCTCCCTAAACCACTGGCTGGCATTAATCCAACTCGGACCAGTCTCGCTCCTTTGGTCCCCGGACCCCTGTCTCCTCGAATAGGTCATATGCAAGCCTCAGCCTAAGGCTTGGTATGTTCTTATGGCACAAGGTCTGAGGAAACTCAATACCAAGGGCGTGACACTCGATAAACTTTAGTGTGAACACTCCACAGTCACTGCCATTAGCCTGCTGTGGCACGGAAGCTTGGTCGATAGGACGGTCGTAGGTGAACGGTTCGAGAGTCCACTCGTACTTTTTGTCTTCATCCGCCAACTGCCTCATCAGATATGGAAACATCACTGTCACAGGTTCTATTAGAGAAGCCAAAAGACCCGGCTTCACGTGACTAGGTTTACTATCGTATATGGTGATGTGCCTCTTTGGCAAGGAAACGAATAGAGCAACCCAATGGTCACCATTCAGGTTGAAAGGTATGTACAATTCATCGATGTCGACGCCCCAGATCTTGTTTGTCGGTCGAGGCTCTGGTAAGACACCTTTGTAGTAATCGTACGATAGCGTTGGCAGTGGTCTTCCTTCACCAAGTTCGTTGGGCTCTATCATCTTGAATTCGTCGTACTTCGCCGTCCAATATTGCCCAAATGTGGTGTCAACCAAACAAAACCTGTCACTTCTAAACCATTCGGGGTGATCCAACAATCGTGTCCTCAGCAAGTAGACAGCAGCGTTCATGTGCTGCGTTTTTAACCAAAAATTATTAGTAACGAAATCTACATAGGAAGTCTACGTACGAAATAAACATATGTGCACAACGAACATCTAAAACACTCACTTAACCCATTCTATGGAAATGAACATGAATATTTCATAAAATTATATTATTCTCACCGTGTCAATGAGCCACTCGTTCTGATTTAGGAGGTCATACCACCAAAAGCGTAGTGGATAGTCATGAACGGTCTTAATGGTCTTCTTTTTTCCTAGTCCACTGAGAACCAAAGAATTGGTAGTTAGTTACTATGTTTCGGTAAAATAAATCATGCGAAGTATACATTTGAAGAATAAAGGTGAAATGAACTTACGGACAACTCTTGTAATGATCCAAGACGACCTCCTTCATCTGCTTATCCGCCTTCCGAAAGGGATCATAACCACGACCTCTAGGTTCTTTGTTACTGAACATTCGCTTGACCGTGCTGCTGCCCACATATATACCATTTTGCGTCTGTGCAAGTGTCCTCAGTCTTTCTGTCTTTCTTGCCTTCGCGTCAATAACCTTTGCGGTGTCCTTCGGTTGCCTTCTTTTGAGGTCAGCAATCTTCTCTTCCTTGGTGGGGAAGTATTCTCTCAGAAGCTCGCAACTCTCTTCCTCAGGAGTCTCACTCTCACTCTCAGAGGACGCAACTGTTTTGTTCTACACCGAGTGATAGAGAATAGCAAAGTTAGACTGCTTATTAAATGTGTGTGTGTCCCAAATGGATTGAAAAAAATGTTTTGAGTAAAGTGTAGGCGGATGACATGAAATCTACAACCAAAGTTATTTGAAAAATAACAAACAAACAGTAAAGGCAGATTGGTGGAAGTGATGTCTTCAAGACTACTTCCGCTTGGTCTTAGTACTTTTACTCTTCTTACTGGGAGGGAGTTTAGGATTCTCAAGCTTATCAGATTCATCCATTGTTTGTTTTGCAGCAATACGAGCAGAGAATTTGCGAGAGTTATCTGTACTAACCGGGCCAGCAGGATTGTTATTGTCAGGCTCCTTCGCAGCGTTCGACGTGTCATGCTCCTTTGCAGCTTCGGACTCGTCGGGAAGCTTCCCGTCTGGAGAAAACGCAGGACCATTGTCGGGCTTAACACGGTCCTTCGCTTCTCTCTCCTCCTCCGACATGACAATTTGAAGCTTCTCGATGGTCGACTCCATACAACTAATTTTGCTTGTAAGGACCTCAACCTTCTCATCAAGTCTATCGAAACGGAGACCGATCTCACCTGTCTGCTGCTTACTGAACTGTTCAAACATTGCAGCCACAGTGGACTGGAATGTATCCCAACTAGCTCCCGAGGTATGTCCATCGATCCCGTAGGCAGGGCATGGTCTCTTTGACGGCCCTAGACCCGAATCCAGATGCCTCTTCTTGTCAATTCCCTTCTCTTCCTTCACCTTATCCAAGACGATTACTCCTTCGGATATCCAGTCGGAAGGCTTCCATCTCCAGGTCCCTCCGAGCTCTCCGTAAAAAGCCTTCATCACATTCTCGATGTGTTCATCGTCGACGTCGTTGTCCCACCTAGGGTAAGCATTATCCCTGTCCACCATGATCATATGGTTGAAATTAACCTGCATGTAATATGTTTCATTCAGTCATTGTACAAGTATTGACACACATATTGGATTGATAAACGTCACTTACCTGCGCAAGAAGAGTCTGCATTATATTTTTGCGCCCTTTCATTCCTTTGAAGGCCATCATAGTCGGAGATACCCTACCCACTACAGGCTCACCGAAGTCCTGACCGAAGCTAGGCATTGCGTAGTACGACCACACTTGTAGCACTTCGACAAACCTGTTAATGTAGTAGTGTTTGGTGAGGTTGGCAGATTTTACAGATTCAATGAGATTCAAGAAAGCTACTCTCCCCCAAGGATAACCTTCAAACTCTTCAAGATCCATTACTAGCTTTGCCATCTCGACCGGTGTGGCAATAGTTTGCCTCTCGCCAACAATGAAACCAGCATAGACGGCTAAATAAGCCAGCCTCTTTCTGTCCTCTTTCGACCAGTCTTGGGCCCACCCACATGCTCGGGTGAGGTTATCAACTGAAGGCCCAAACTTGGTATGAACACCAAGTTTCTCCCAAAACTCAGAAAATTCATTCTCATCTATGTCCGCAGTCAGAGGTGCCTTGAGATTCTCTCTGTATTCGCAGTTAAGACCGGTAATGTGTTCAAACTCGTGCAACGAAAACCTTACAGGATTTGAGCCAACCACACTCCAAATCTCGAAGGGCTTCTTGCACACTATTTGCATATTGAGCATACACTTCACAATCATTGAAGCCCATGAGAATTTGCTGTTCACGAACCTGAAGAATACCCCGAGCGGAGATTCCTCGAGCTCAGCCCATTCATCATCGGTCAAGAGTGTGGTGAGAGCTGCGAACAACTTCGTGTTGTTGCTGTAATACCCGATGCTTTTGTCGCTTTCAGGATCTGAACCTTTGGTGAAAAACCTCCTAGGAAATGTAGGCTTTTCCATCCTGATGCAATAGCAAGAAACGAAAAGATCACTATTACTAGTATATAACAAATTGAAGTATAACTTTAAAGTTTACAGTATAAGTCAACATCGGATGTCGAACTATGAAGTCTACATACGAAGTCTAAATACGAAGTCCAAATATGAAGTCTACATACGAAGACATAATACGAAGTCTACATACCAAGCCTTAATACGAAGTCTATCACCAAACCCTAATATACGGCGAACGACAAACAACATTAATCGAAAGATTGGGTAGTTTACTGACCCTAGTTTACCGCTATACTCGGTACCACGCCGGGGTGTGGTTAAGATGATGGAGGAAGTATGGCAACGACGATATGCTGAAGTACATCAACGACAATGGAGTATAGGTGGCGGAGGATATCAAGACGAAGGCTAATTCGTTAGTACGGTGAAGTGGAACACTGGAATCTGCAAAAGTTGATACAAGAGGGAAATAGCTTACGGTCGTTACTAGCGGGACGGGAGATGAGAGATGAACTTGGAGATTTTTACAGCAGCGACGATTATACGAATTATCCACAGGCGGCGGAGATATAAGTGAGAGGAAATCGCCGGCGGCGTTCGAAACGTCGGAAATCGCCCTTTCGTGACAAATTTTAACTTTCGTTTGGGAAAAATGAAACTTTACCAAATGGGGAGATTAGGTAAACTCTCGCACGGTCGGAGCGGTTATTGGAGCGGTTATCGATATACCCGTGGTAATCGGAGCGGTTTTCGGTCTAATTATTGTAAATTCAAGTTGGTTCAATTGAAGTTATGAAAAAACGTACTTTTCTAATGATGTCTACAGATGAAGTCATTATTTCGAATGCCCTAGTAAAAAAGCCCGCGAATTTTCCCGCGCTAATAATGTTTAATTGTATACTTCTCCTCGTCGTCTACACATGAAGTTAAAAATATTAAGTCTTCTTAATATCGTTCCTACTCGACTAATTACATTTACATTGCAATTGACATTGGTAATTTTACAGTAGTCAACATCATGACTAACATATGATGAAGGTTTTAGGGTTACCAATAAATATGTAGCCAATTTTCTGGTAATTATTTTTTAACATATACTTTAAAACGATAAGGAAGTCTACTTTTAAAGTCTACCGTTCACGTCTACATTAGATGTCTACTAAAACACGGAAAATACAACAAATATTATACAGCTCTCCTCAAACAACCATGCAAACTTTTCTAAAACATAATCATGCATCCGCAGGCTATGATGAAGCCTGCGAGGAGGACGACAAGCGCGATTACGATGTTCAGTTCCACTCCCCTGTGACGCTTGTTCTCCGTAAGAGCTAGGCGTTTCAGTTCACCTA